TTGACAATTATGTACGGTAATAGTCAAAGAAAATACTACTTGGCAATACTCGATATTCTTTTTCACATAGTAGTTCAATTTAAATCATAAAAATAAATGAAATGGGTAAAACAGAACAGAACCAACATACAATAAAGCCTAAGAAACACAAATAAGAAAAAGAAAGTTATGCTTATCTAAAAATAGAATCGTTCTACACAGTGAAAGTCTGACAAAGATCATAGAAAGAAGAAATTAAAAAAAAAAAAATCAAATACTCCACCCTTGCCGATGTTGGGTGTCCAAAAATTTGCTGCAATTGCTCTAGCTCTCGAATTATAGTGTCGCTGTAAAAACAGGAGATAAAATCAATTAAAACAATACCCATATTTTACAGTAAAAAAAAGAATTTTTTTAAGATTGAAAATAAAACTGGACAGGAGGAAATTTTTACCAGGAAAAAGAAAAAGAAAGGGGGAAAAATTGATTGAAAGCCCATAACTTTAAACCCTTTTGACAACATTTTTTTTTTTTGTTTTATTTTGCTTTTCTATGTTAATTGCTTTGTATATCTTTCTTCAATCAGTTTATAATTCCAAAAAATTTCCAAATTGGGAATCGATCATTGTGTTTTAGTGCAAAGCAAAGCCCGATTTCGGTTGTAATGGACCCAGCCCATGTAAGAAAAACTAGGTCTTTTGACCCAATAGGCCTGTCAATACCGGTAATTAAAGTTTTTTTTTTGTTGATTATTAATTTTTTTATATTTTTTTTGAAAAACAAACATTATCAAAGCCCTAAATTCGTATTTTTGTTTTCGAGGTATTATTTTTTCTTTCCTCTATGATTCTTTTTTGTTAATTAAATTTATTTTTAGAAATTTGAATTCAAAAGAAAAGGATATAAATTTCAAATATTAATATAAATTTTGAAATAGAATTAAAACAAAATTTAATTATACTTAAATTCATGACTTTTTTTTTATACATAAAAAGTATGCCATCTATTGTGTATTATGTACCAAAATATAATTTTTTTTTTGTATAATGGAAAGAGTAATGATATTGTGTTAGATATCTTTTTTTTTCCTAATAACAATTTGGATAAGGAGTGAAATTAGTTTTAGTGAAATTAATTATTATACTAGTAAAATTAAATATGATAGTAATTAAATTAAAATTAAAGATGAAATATATCTTAAATATAAACATAAAGATGACAATGAATTTATATTTTAGCCTAAATTCAATGGCATTGAGTAAGAAATCCAAATGGGTTTAAATAGTTTCTTTAGAGATAATTTAATTTTAAGTAGGCATCAGATTGTTCTTAATCCAACAGCCAACATGGCATGTTATTACTTTCACTTTTTAAGTATTGAACAATTTAAACATACATCAACTTCATTTTCATTGAGGTTTATTTATATGTTTTTTTAAGAAATTTGAAGTTACTTTTTCAGTTTTTTATTTAGTTCCTTACTAGTCACCAGGTCCTTGCTTTATCCTGTCAACATCCTGTCCAATATTGAAGATAGTGATACTGTCCAATATAGTTTCTTGATACTCACTAGCTTCTCCCAATCATTTTCTTGCTGCCAAGTTATTGAAATGAAAGCTTCACAAATCTGCTTTCAACCAAATTGCCATGTACAGCTTAGAATCCTCGGCATATGTGGAAGCTATGGAGTTATCAGATACTTTGCAGGGACTTTTGGTCATGGAGCTCATGCTTATGGGTTAGACTTTAGCACCAGTACAATCAATATTGTGGCAAATGGAATGTCTTTGAAGTATGATTCCATTTTCTGAATTGTTGCAGTAGGCTCATTTCATTATTGATATGAAATCATTAAGGTTTTTTTCTCCTAGTTTATGAAGTAAGGAGGTAATTAATATGTGTTTGCTTATCATTACATGCTAATTTTCAATCTCTGCAGCTTCAATGCAATCAAGACAGATCTTCAAGCCTATTTTGCAGATTGCAGAAGCACATTTCTTTTGTTGAGATTTTTTTTTTCCTTTTTCCATTTAACTGCATATCCAACTCTATCCATAAATTTGGTTTCTACAACATCAAAACTGGGTTTCAACAGAGATAATTTGCAGCTTGCATCAAATTAGGACAGTACTAGCAGGTCTTTATGGCAGGCTCAAATCACTTAAGGGAGTGGCTGGTACTGCTGGAAGCTTTTGCAGCTTAGGAATCCAGCTTGGCAGTTTATTTAGCAGTAAGATGGGGTGGCTGTCATGTTTAAACCTGGAAAAAGATATTCAGTAGCTTCAGTATGGAAATATCTTTGACCTAAGCAGTTGAAGGTTGTTTGTTGCATGGTGGCTACTATTTCCCCCTTTTCATATACCAAATCATACAGTGGTCTCTTGGATGGCTATCCTTAATAGATTGCCATCCAAGGACAGGCTGCTTTCATGGGGGATTACAATTGATGTTTGTTGTGTACTTGATTCGGGTCAGGAATCAAGGGATCATATTTTCTTTGGCTGCGAATTTTTCCAAAGATATTTGGCATGAGGCTATCCTGCTTTTTCAGCTGCACAGGGGAGTTGGCTCTTGGAGGGATGAGGTTCATTGGGAAGTTAGCAGGCTTAAAAGGAAGGCTAATCTTCATTATCTTGCGCTTAGCCTGGAATGCTCTCATATTCCAGGTTTGGGTGGAGAGAAGCAACAGTCTGTTTGATCAGACTCCAGCTACAAAGTTGGATGCTCTTGGTTACGTAAAGGATGCAGTGAGATTGCGCCTACCTGATTTGGGGAACATAGCAACTGATTCTGTCAATTTGAACCTATGTGACGCTTGGGGTTTTAACTCTACTATGTTTGATTAGGTGGATATTTTTTTGGTATTTGAGGTTACCAGGATTTAAATTCTAGTCACTGAAACTACTAAGTCCAGCTCTTTATCAACAGTCCACACATACTGTTATTTTGATATAGATGTTATTATCACTGTATTGAAGACATCCTAAAAGATAGTTGTACTGTAGCAGGCTTTCTGCTAGTAGGATAAAAACCATAAGGATTTTACTGTTACAAATTCTCATGTCAACCATGAAAACTTCCGCAACCTGATCTTTCCTAGCAGAATTTCTTAACCTAAACAATAAATCTATTGAATCTAGCTTAGGAAATCTTCAACTTCTTAGCACAGTGACAGAAAGTATCCACCAGTTCGATCAAGTCCTTTACCCAGAAACTAAAGATAGCTTTAATTTTACAAAAATGTTCAAATGGCTGTTGAATATGCAACCACAATGATACCAACTCGCCTCACCTCGTAATTGGCTTGATTTTCTTCAATACATGTCTGTACCATTGGGTCTATTGGTAGCATAACTACAATGTGGCGAAACCAGGCTTTCAATCTAAACAGCTGGGAGAAACCAATCCCAATGATTGCGAGGATCATACCAGACCAATTCCCGACCATCATAATCTAAAACAAATTTACCAGTTTTTGTACAGTATAATGCATTCTCCTAGTACTTATATGATTCATGCAAGGTTTCTCCAACACTGAACAATCTAGTCCATGACGATTTGACACCATATTCCTTCGACAGTCATGCCTCATAAATAGCTTCACAATCATATCCTTTATGGAACAGGCATAGGCAATCTCCTGAAATCCCCAAAGCCATTCTATTATCTTTACTCTCTTCTATATGATCCGGTGGGATCAGTTCATTGAATTTCTTTTCTACCATGTGAAATGCAACGATTACATAGGTTTTTCTCAGACCTGTTTGTCTTGCTGCTGACCAATGCAATGCCCCACGGAGAAAAATCCCAGCTCCTTCTATTTCTGTTCCAGATTGGAGACCTTGAATCCTTCAACAAATGTTACTTTTCAATTCCAGAACACCAACTTCAGTTTCTTTAGAAGCACTGGCGGTAGAAGGGCGAGCAATTCTAACAACTTTGCAATCATCAGTTGAGAAATCTTAGCCAAGACCGCAAGAAAATGTGCCCTTTGTATCAAAAGGACAGAGTTGGCTTCTCTAATAGTTGGATTCCACAAGAAGATGCGCTCATGATCTATGACTGCACATATCAAGCCATTACAAGACCCTCCGAAATCATACCAACCATCCACCAATTCATCAGAGTCAGAAGTCTTCCTCATTGCTGCCGGATACTCAAGTTCAAATACCAGTCTGCTTTCATCATCAAGACCATCACCAGAAGCTTCAAGACTGCTGATTCAAGAGGTTAAGTAATGAAACGGACTCTGAGGCTGCTAAAATTGCAATTCTTCTTTGACTGCAAGGTGCAATTTGGCAAACTGAGGATCAGAGATCAAAGACAACCATGGCTTGTATACACACTTAAGCTGTATCAGATACTTGACTGGTAACCTGGACAGTGTATTGACAATAATATCTAGAGGGAGCTGAGGGTGTTTTCATGGCATCCCTTAAGATCAGTTCTTGTTTCTGCCTTTCCTCTTTGGATACCCTTAGGTTAAATAGCTGCACCACATTGCCTGAATTACCCAAAATCTTACATTGTACACTAGCAATAATTTGGGATTTTAGACATTGGTTGAAAGAGTCATCCGTTCTTGAACCAAAATATTGGGAGGAGAAATTTCCTGCCAGAATAACATTCACTACACATAATTTTTTGTTCAATGATCAGCTGCTCCATTTTGAAGTAGTCATTACAATTGGGAAACTAATTGAACTAGTACTTCAAAGAATCATCCACTTTTGTTTTATTAATCCAGAGGTTGCAGGGAATAAACAGAAATTGTACAGGGGAAGCCGTGTGTACAGTCCATTCTTTTCCATTTTAGATTAGCTTTAATATCTTCTGAAAAGCTCACAAGATAATACTTGTCCAACATGTGGTGCAGTTCACAAGACATTTTTTTTTTTTTGGGGGGGGGGGGGTGGGAGGGGAGGGCGCTTAATTTTCTAGCTGCTGCCAACAATGCAGAAATAAAATTAACTTCTAGGAAAAAAGAAACAAACAGACAAACAATAAAAGAGTAGAAGAGAGAACAAAAATAATTACAATTCAGAATAGGATTTCATTTATATTTAACAAATATAGTTACAACAAGATGAGGAGAAGAAGACAAAACCAAAACAGAGAATCTTATATCCCTTATTAACTAGGTTTCGAACTAAATAGATTGGTATGCAAGCAAATGTAGCTGAAGAACTTGACCATATGCAATTAACAATGCCTGACCTTCTACCCTTTCCATTGCAGCAAACATTGTTGCACAACCTCCAGTTATTCGCATGTCCAAGGAGTTGATGTTGCAGAAAAGATATCATCCATCAACAATAAATTGGTCATCTTGATTGTCTCCGTCAACCCTTCCATCTCCATGAACCATACCATTCACATGGTGCAAATTTTGCATCATTTGTGAAAGATAATGGTTGCTGGCACCAGTATGGTCTGAAAGCCCTGCTGGATGACCAGTCCATTGAGAGACAATTCCAAGCAACTGGCTAGTAAGATTTTGTTGCTCGTGAAGAATACGGTTCTGCATCTGGCTCATTTCAGCTCTGTGCTGATTTAGCATTTCATCCATCCTCTTCTTCCATTCGGACCTCCTTCTATTCATCCTCTCCTCCCATTCCCTCTCTTGTATCGACTCCTCTTCTTTTCTTCTTCTTTCTTTCTCTTCACTTTCCTTTTCCATAGCTTCCCACTCACAAATTCTCTGCCTTCTCAGCTTTTCTCTAGCCTTCTCTCTTTCTTCCCTCTCTTTTTCTCTTTCTTCCAACTTCCTTTCCCTTTCTTTCTCAAGCTCCAGTTGAACATTCTCCTTTCTCTGCCTCTCACGCTCTCTCACGGCCTCACGTTGCTCAAACCGAGACTCCAATTCCCTTAATTGCCCCAACTGGTTCATAAGAAACCCAAATGCCTTTTTCTCCAACCCCTTCAACACTTTCCTTTTCTTCTTCAAATTAGACCCATTTGGCTCCACTTCTTCATACAACAAACCATCATCTACCTCCTCCCTCACTTGATCATTACCATTATAATTCCCCTCTCCTTCTTCACCATCATACTCAAATCCCAAACCTAACACCCCATTCTCTCCCCCATCAATTCCCACAAAATCGCCATCCCCAGATTGACCTATTTGTCCAAACTCCGCAAGATCCATCCCCCTACGTCCAACGAATCCTCCTCCATTTTCCCTTTCCTCAGTCGCAATCGCCATAATATCACTACTATTGTTACTATTATTGTTATTATTACTATTATATGAAACTGCCACATCCCCAAATACCTCCTTGTACCGCAAAAAATTCGACCAATGTGTAAGCCCTTCTAACCAGTCAAAGTCATCATCCCCATTACATTCCCCACCCACCGGATTATCAGCATCAGGTTTCTTAATCTTTTGTTTAACAAGCAAATATTGGTGCCTCATATTTTGCACCTTAGTAGACACATCCTTCCATGACCATTGCCATGGATATGCAATAGAATCACGCCAATGATGCATAGTATTCACATAATAAGCAATAGGCTTATATTTCTTTTCCCTCGTTTTCATTTTCGCAAGAGTCCCATCAGCCACCATCTCACCATATTTATCAATTAGGGTTTTTTCTTCAGCCTCGGTCCATTTCTTTCTTTTTGGTATCATCATTTGGTATAATATATACAAATAAACCAATAAAAACCCCAATTTTCTCTATAAGCGTAAATTCAAATTCATGAAACACACAATTGTATGGCATCGAAAAAAAGACCCAAAATCAAAACAACCCAGATCACAAGAAACACCCAAAACAAAAGATTTGCAAGAGCCCTTACCTTAAAATAGAGAGATTGAGGAAAAGAAACCGCTTTGACAGTCTGGGTTTTATTCCTTTGAAGTGGGGTCTGATTTGAGTTAAGTAAGATGGGAAATTTTCTAGAGAAAATTCGGGAGAGAGTGAAGGAATCTGTGAGAAAGTAAGTACCTTTCGAAGTGACTGAGTAAAACTCAAAACAGTGAGAAATTTGTAACTACGAAAGAGGAAACATGATTGATTTTTTTAGCGTTTTGGGTTCATGTTATTACAAGGGAGCGGTGAATGCGGGTGGTGAAATTTATGTCTTTGTGATTTGTAATCTAGCGGGGTTGTTTTGGTTGGTTGAGGTTTTTCCTGTTTTGCTGTTTGCCATTACTTTGCATACGCGAATGGGTTGCCTATTTTAAAATCTATTTTTTTATTGGGAAATAATTTTTTTTTATAATTATTGGGCAATAATATTAGTTATATACAATTTTGAGTTTTTAATATTTTTAATGGGATAATTTTAAGTACTTTTTTCTATTACGAAATTTGAGTTGCAAGGATTTTTCAAATATAATAAAAAGATAAAAAGTAAAATATAAGTAGTGGATAAATGAATTTGATAAAATTTTAACTCACTCAATATTAAAATAAAATTCTCTAAGTTGGTATCCATGCCTATATATTATTTTTAGACTTATCGTTTTGTTCATACAGCAATATTATATTATACGAAAATGATATAAAAAATATGAAAATAATATGATTTAAAATTAATAAATATATATATAATTTGGATTAAACTTATTTAAGGGTTAAGTTATTCATTTAAATTCAAAGGTCGGTTCAAATTTTGAAAAGATTTAAATAAAAAATAATATCTCGTTAAATGGGTTTGGGTACATTTTTTAGTGTCATTTAAATTTTGGATCGGATCTTGAATAAAATATTTAAAACTCGAACCCGATCCAATCCAGTCCAGTCCGAATTCATATATATATATATATTATTTATATATGTGAATTATATAAATTAAAAATAAATTTTAATATTTTATCAAATTTAATTTTTATTTTTATATAATTTTTACTTTTAATTTTTACATATATAATTTTTATTTTTATTTTTTATATATATGTCATTAAATAATCCCATTAAACTTAATTTATAACACTTTTTTAATTTTTATTATATAAATTAAGTTTAATTGGTAGATTTTTGAAATTTATATTTTTCATTTAAGCTAGATTTGAGAAAATTTTGAGGCTTAAATTTTGGGTCGAGTCAGGTCTAAATAAGTATATATGTTATTAATACCAAATACTCGAACTCAGCCCAACGCGGCACATAAACACTTTTAATTTGGACAAAAATAAAAAAAATTTATTTATTTTTTTACGTGTCAACAAAAATTGTTACAAAGTAATTTGGTGTTTTATATGTTTTGGATACAAATAAATATGATATAGGTACACAAATTATCATATCTAACTATTATAGATAATCATGTTTTATATATAGGATGTTCTAAATATACCACCAAATTTTTTCTATATACCCCTAAAATTTTCTTCCAAAAATACCCGCATACTAAAATACCAATTTTAACATTTAATAAATGATAAAAATACCTTTAATAGCTTATACACCTAAAAATTACCTTGTATTTCTCGAAAATAAATTTTTTAGAGTTATATTGCATTCTCGAAAATCCATTTCCTAAAAAGCAATATAATTCCAAAAAATGAATTACCGAAAATAAAACACACTTCTCAAAAAATCCATTTTTGATACTTAGCTTTCTCAGTCAAAAGTCATCATGTACTCTCAAAAATCAGTTTCCAAGAATAAATAAATTTTTTTAAAAAAATATATATTTAATTATAAACTTTTGATAACAAGAAAATCAAGATCTTAAATCTTTGGGCCACTAAAAAATATCATCAACAGACTAACAAATCCAATAATAAAGACAAGTAGCTGAAAGATTACATACTGTTGGATTTATCAATCCGCTGATGACATTGTCAACAACAATGTTCTATAGTTGTTCAAGCTCAAACTAACATGCATGCACACACATAAGTCATCAATGTGTCCATTCTTACTTTATTATATGTGCAAATAAAGAGACCAAGTTCTCAAGTATGCATGAAATAAAAATGTTTTTATCCAGAGCTAGCCTAGAAAGCCAAGAAAACAATTTCATTTTATTCCATGCATATTAAGAATATTGATTTCAATTACATTCGTACACATAGTCAAGTAAATGGATTCATAAGCGCATAATTAAGGTTTTTTATTAAAAGTGAAATCGAGCTTCTTAGATATGGTTGAGGGCTTTTTTTTTTTTTTTAAATATGGTTGGACCAAATATGAGTTTAAGATGCTCCGCTTCAAGGTATTTCTAAAATTATATTTTATAGTTATTTAATTTTATATTTATATAATTTTATTAATAAATTTATTTTTATAAATTAATTTAATAAAAGCATTAAAGTTATATATAATTAAAATGTAATTTATATTAAAAATTTTATATTTTTATAAATATTATATCAAATTAAAATTATTAAATTAATTTCAGATCAAATCAAGTCGATACATTTTATCCATATACATCAAATCAGATATATAAAAAACTTTATGTCGAGTCATAGTTAGAGCTTAATAGAATCATTAAAGGGTCTAGTTGTTATCGGGGAAAGCTTAAACTTGCTCTCTAAATGGATGGTGTTCACGTGACATTCTATTTTGCCTTTTTAATTGCTTTGGCGTTTTTATTTGCTTTGACATTCTAAACTAGAGATAGGATTGCTAAAACAAATTGTACCCGATGAATTACAACCTATCTCGATCCAAAAGGGACAATATTTTCTTTTGAAAATCGGTCTCAAATCGAGATTGGAATGATTTTTCCTTTCTTACTGGAGTCGAACGCAGGTTTGGAGTGCTTAGTCTTGACTCTTCTCTAAATATATATAAATATATTTTATTATTTATCTAAATTTATATTTATATATATATATATTATATTAATAAAATTATTATTTAATATCTTAATTAAATAAAAATATTAAATTTATATATAATTTATATTAAAAATAATAGTTTTATAAACATTATACTAAATTTAAATTATTATACTTATTTCAAATCAAGTCAAATTAAATATAATTATATATATATTTGATCGAGATTAAGTATAAAAAATACTTAATGTCAGGTTTAAGTTAAAGTCAGATTAAATTATTAATGAATCGGATTTAGAGTTTATACATATAAAAACTGATTGGTTGCCATCACTAAATAGAGGTGTTCACATGTCATCTCAATTTGCTTCATTTTCTTTTTTTTTTCTTGAGCTCTTTTTTTTGTTTTAATTTGTTTAATTATCTATTTTATAATATTTTTATTATGTTTTGAAAGACAAATTTAAAAGAATGAAATTAATTTTATTTAATTTGATTTAATTATTTTTATTAAAAAAATTATATAAACAAAATTATACTCACAAATTTATTAAATTTATCATGGATATTGTTTATTAAAAATTAAAAAAATTAACCCATGGCAGCACACAAGTTTATTTCTAATGCTTTTTTAATTTTTCAAAGTTCAAAATTTAAATCTCCTAATCTAATGTCAACGTTTATATATTATTTTTTATTGATGATAATAAGAACTATATATATATATATATATACATATTTTTGGAAATACATTTGAGGCAATAAGTCTATTTTATTATTAATCTATTTTCCTTGGGCATAAAAAAAATAAAAAGTATATTATTATAAATTTATTTGGATCGCTATATACATAATATTTATATATATATATATATGTGTGTGTATGCAATATATTTATATATATATATATATGTAATATATTTAGGATAATGGTTCTCCGTTAATTGATGGATGGTCGAAGATAGTAGCAGAAAATCTCCTCTGATGAAACGATCGATTAACATGGTTGCTCTCTCCGATGAATAAACCTATATAGGTAGCATAGAAGAGATTTTCTGCTACTATCTTCGACCAACCATTATCTTGTAATATTGTGATTGACGGTGAGTTTTATGGAGAAAATAGAGTGCCTTGGAATATTTTCAACAAAGATGAAAGAAAATCTTTCTGGGTTTTCACCGAGTTGAAGAAAAAGAGTAAATCAAGGATTGGTAGGACTCCGGATGTTGGCATGGCCGAGCTTCAAGGAACTAAAGAATGCAAGTGGTCAGCTGTTGGGCTTGGACAAGTACTTCACCTTTACTTGCAAGAAAGATAAATCAATCCAAGGCAATGGCAACTGGATTATGCATCTGTTTTCTTTGATGAATAAAGATGTTGCTGTAAGTTTAGATAGCTCAGTTCCAAGTCTGAAGAAAGTTTGTGCTGATCACCGGAGAAATCTAAACGAAAGCAAGGCTGATGATTGGAATGCAAGTACGTAATAGTCTTCCAAGTTATCAACAGAATTCTTGGGAACTTCATCAAGAAACTCATGATCCAAGCAGGTGAAGACCATATGAACCGTATCATCTTTCTTGATTTTGCTGATATCGTTGGTCCTGAAGAGCTTGCGGATGAATATACTGACACGTACCTGGACATGATGATTACATGATTGAAGAGATTAACAAAGAAAAGCTTTCAAAGAAAGTTTGTGGTCATCATATCAAAGAAGTCTAAGCGAAAGCAATGCTGATGAAAGGAATACAAGAAAGTGTTACAAGTTATCATCTGAATTGGTGGAAACTTGATCCTCAAGAAACTCACAATCCGGTGCAGACCATGACCAATAGCAGCTTTTCTGATTTTGCTGATCATATACTCGGTCCTGAAGAGCTTACGGGTGAACATACTGTGGCATACCTGGACGTGGATGGCTTCACGATTGGGCTACATCTTTATGAAGTTATATCATTTAAGTAGAGCCAGAGTTGCATTCAAAATTTCTGGTGGTTTATTAGATAACAGAGTGATGATCAGTCCTTAAGTTTATGCCAAAAAAAGCTTGAGACATAAAACTATATATGTACCCATTTATCTTGTAGTGGATGGCCTTTGCTCTGACAGTGGTTTTCCACGTAAAAATCTGATGCCTCTCTGTTCTTTGCTTCTTTATTTTTGTGAATGGTTTGGTTGATTTATTTCTCCATTCATTGATGGCATATGCACTAACTTTTACCATATTAACATATCATATTTGATTCAAATATATATGCACCTATATTCAAAAAAACTTCAAGGAATGATCAGTACAGTTTCTTGCATAACAAGCACATGCACATAATCAGAATAGTTTTGAATGCCGAGTACTATGGAAGTGTATGAACATTTACAATGCAGGAAGGCATGAAGAACTTCACCAAAAAGCAAACACCATGAAAAGCAAACAAAAACCCCACTAGACAATG